ATATATATATTTATTTATTTATGTTGTCTACAACTTTGTCCTTTGAAAGTGATAATAATAAAACAGATTTTATAAATTTAAATATGATAGAGTTTTCTATTTCACATATTTAAATATAACTTTTATTAATAAGTAAGAATTTTTATTTTTATTTAATTTTGAGAAAAGCATTATAACAGACTCCCTTATGACATTTCAAAGAAATAATCAGCAGCGACATTAACTTTGACTATAGTTTCTTGGGTTAATTCCACCTACACCCCTTGAACTTTGTCAATATTCCACACACACCCCCTCTACGTTTCATAATGCCACCTACACCCCCTGTCAGTAACAGACGTTTAGTTTACTAACGGAAATGTGTGATTTTACTGTTTTACCCTTGAATTATATATTAAAATTTATAACTTAAAAGGAAAAGACTCTAATACCCTCTATGACTCTCTCTACTCACAGACGCATATATACACACACTATATATATCTTCTTTTTCTTTTTCTTTTTTCTTTATTAATGCCGGCGACGAAGAAACTATGCCACCGATAACAACCACAGAAAAAGATGGCTCTTATCACAGCCGAGCCGTTCTCCTTACTGCCCGCCGTTCAATTACAAGGACAGTCGCCGTTCAATTGCAAGGACACATCGTCGTTCAAGCTTCAGTCCTTACTGCCCGCTGTTCAATTGCAAGAATAGTTCACTGGTTTTTATCACAGCCTCCGTTGCGAGCTTCGCCGGATTGAACTGAACTTCACCGGAGTAGGGATCGCCAGACTGAACTGGGTGAAGCGATCTCCGGCGAGTTACAAAACCTATCTCGTCGTTTCTTCACCTCAACCCACCACGACGACGACTGACCACCCACCACGTACATGTAGTGAACAAACCACGAAGCTTCGCCGGACTGAGCTTTATCGGACTTGGGATCACCGGACTGAACTGGGTCGAGGTAGCTGTGAACTTCGCCGTCGTCGTTTTTGATCCGTCTTACCTCGTTCTTATCCAGCTTTACGAAGGTAGTTTTGATGGCGACTACACAGCCGTAGATTTGACGGCGTTGAACTCCGGCGTTTGGACTGAACTAAGGTTCCTCCTTTTTCAAAACGGCTAACAGCGATTCAGTCATACCAAACCCAGTTCTGCGATTCAATCAAGCTCAAAGCTAGAGCGTACTAAGTTCGACCAAACCCAGTTCAGTCCGGCGAGCAGCCATTCCTCAACCCACCTCGGTGAAACCCAATTCAAAACGGCCATAGACATGCCAAAGGTCTGTAGAAGAATCCGGCCTAGCTCTGTAAGTTCGTCACCATTGTTAAAACCGCAAGCTTTACCATTCTTGTCACAACCCGCTTCATGCCGGTAATTTCATTCCACCAAACAGTCTCATCAGCGTCCTTCATTGAAGCATGTCTGCCGTCCTCTTCACCGCCATTTAATCACTTCATCGCCTGTCAGTTCAGTCTCGCCGTTTCTGGCCAATAAAAACAGCTTCGTCGTCGGTCCTTGTTGGTAAATTCTGTAGCTGCAATTCCCGTTTTGCATCGCCTAGTCCCCTTTGCACATCGTTCAGACTTATTTGGTCACCATCTGTTGGTGCATGGATTAATACTATGGGCTCAATTCCGGCGACTTACAAAGTTGAAACGATCCGTGAATGGGAGTGTTCTGGGTTTATAAGTTGAGGGTAATTTTGTAAATTTGCATTAGCCAATGAGGTTAAAAATGTCATTTCAAGTATTGGAAGGGCAAAATTGACCTTATACCAATTTGTTCATGCTGACACCATCAATTGCCTAACCGTAGGGGGTAATTTGCTATATAAATCAAAACCTCAAGGGAGATAGGTGGAATTATGAAACGAAGAGGGGGTGTGTGTGGAATATTGGCAAACGTCAGGGGGTGTAGGTGAAATTATCCCTAGTTTCTTTTATCATTAGTCCTCCTATTGCTTTCGTACATTTTTATCTTCTGTTTCTTTTATCATTTATCCTCCTATTGCTTTCGTCTAACCTTCTTTATCTACCTTTTTGTCTCTTCGAAACAATAGCTTGCTCATATAGGAAAGAACACATAAACAATTTGTACAAATTTAGCACTTACAACCGCACCGTTAAGCTTTACACTCACTTTTAGGACTTGTTGTCCACAACCATTATATATATATAGGCATCAATTCTCCCTGATAAATAATTATAATACATTACAAACAATGGCTATGATCTATTCTTTAAAACTTTCCATCTACCTAATATTTACAATCTCTCTGTAAAATTCTCTATTTTTATAGAGTATTCTATAATCTACAAATTCTTATAAGCTCTCAAATGTTTTAAATCTCCCATCTCTCTATTACACTCTTAAAAACTCTAAAACCTAACTATCCACATATGTCGTGCAAACATCATATAGAGTATTCATCAACACTCACATGTCGCCTGTATGATGCTACCTCTTGATATATTGGCAAACATTTTGCTGTAAACATATGTTGTAACATTAGAATCACATAAAGAGAACATGTAAAATCATCATTGTCATCGTCTTTATCCCATATCAATGGGTCCGTCACATGAAATATGCATCCATCCTTTTATGTCACACGCTATTTCGCTCATTGTGTTTATCTTTTTTCAAACCATCCAAGTTTACTCTCTTTAATTTTCTCATTAATAAGTCATTCCTAATTTTTGTCTTTAATTGAGGTAATTTCATTTAAAGAGTCAATCTTTACTCATTAAAACACTCTTCGTGACGTCAAAGGGAACTCGAATAAGTTTAACTCAAAACTCTCATTTTCTTTCAAAGATTTAATCTTTATACATTAAAATGGTCTTGTGACATAATAGGTACCTTGATTGAGATATTTTCATTCAAAGATTCAATCTTTACTCATTAAAACTACTTTTATTAGTGTTCACTACATGAATGTGATTTTTTTGTTTCTTTTTAAAACCCTACACTTCAATTCATATAACATAGTTGGTTTAATGACAGTTCCATAAAAATTTTCTTTTAATATGTGTTATAATCTTATTCATAAAAAATGCCACTAACTTGTCTCTATTTTGTTCATGCTGGCCCACATCTACAAGTTATGTCACTATCTATCTCTCAATCCTCTTGTATTATCAATCCTAAATAGCAAAAGTGGTTATTTTGAATAATAGTTTTTATTTTGAGGTGTTATCATTATATGATCGAGATCTTAGTCATTATTAATTTTTCACTAAATATATTCTGTTTTAGTTCTAATAATTCTCAAATCTTTTGACTCTAAAGCATTTATACACATTTCTACTTTTATTACTAATTTTTCTTTAAATGTATCTAATAACACAATATTATCAGTAAACACATGCACATCAGATATCATTTTGAAACTCCAAGGGCCTAATGGATGGCGAGTGTGAAGTACCAAAGGGACAAATTTCTTACCAAGGACCGGAAAAAAATATTTAAAAATAAATATAAATAATTGAAATTCTTGATTCAATCCTACCTTTATAAAGAACCCAATAATTTCAGCACCCATGGTACTAACTCTAATTTCAGCACCCATGGTACTAACCAAATTATTTATTTATTTATTATTTTTTAATCTATGTATTCTTCAACTAAGTATATAACAATGATTCCATTACATCAAGCAGGCCCAGAGGCTAAAAACTATTTAGTCTAGGGCTGGGCCAAGGGCCTATGTCTTATTTGGGCTTGTGAGCCTTGTTTCCATTAGCATGTATTTCTTTTTTCGGCCTCTGGCTTCATATTTATAAATTTGCTTAACCTTCCACAAAAAAAAAAAAATTAAAATAAAATAAAATAAAAACTTGCCCTAGTGGGTTTGCTGTACCAGTGTACCACAAATGAAGATGAGCTATGGAAGAGATCAATCCGTCGGGTCGACGTAGCTCAGAAGCCACTTCCTCCCATTCCATAACCTAATGTGAAATAGGTTTTGAAAATTGGCAGGCACTTAAAGTCTTGATGGGAATAGTTTGGAAGGTGTAAGGACCAGAAATGCCTTAAGATAGCTGTCGTATTAAATAGCTCCAGGTCAGGGAGTCCTAGACCACCATCTTGTTTGGGTCTGCAAAAGGCATCCCATACAACTTTAGCGCCAGTTTTCTTCATGTCTGTACCAGACAACAGGAAAGAACTTAAAACTGTATTGAGCTCTACAATAACTGCCTTTGGAAAAATAGAGAGACATGCTGGAATGGCAAATGGGCGGATTAGGTCGGGTTTGGGTTGGGTTAAAAATGGGTGGATTAACATAAGGTCAAGGCTCATATTCAATCCATTCAAAACGAGTTTAAAATGGGTGGATTGAAAGTGGGCAGGATCATCCCATTATGACCCACAGATCCATTAATTATTATTTTTTTATTATTTTTTAATTTTTTAATTTTTTAACTTTTTAAAAAATTTTAAATTATTTTGTTCCAAAGTTTTTATTTTTAAAAAAAAAATTTATTTAAATTATTTTTTAATTTTTAAAAAATTTAAATTATTTTTTAATTATTTATTTTTTTAGAAGAAATTTCTAGAGAGGGAAATTTAGAAAGAGATGATTGTAGGTGAGAAATTTAGGAAGAGGAATGAGTCGAGTGTTGCGTGTTTATTATGTGATAGGTGAAATATAGGTTGAATATGTCTTGACTTTTAAATTAAATGGTTAAAAATTATTTAACCCATCTTGACCCTCAAATTAATATAATTTACCCATAATTATTAAAAAAGCTGGTTTTGATTTCTAACCACTTTGCCACCCCTCAAGTTATGCTAGGTTGTGTTCGGTCCTATGCTAGGTCCTTATGTTGTACTCTGCTCATTTATAAGTAAATTATTTAGGCAAGGTTGCGAAGTTGCTTTACGTTTTCATAAATTATAAACCTTTTTTTTTTTTTTTTTGGTCATTCAGAGGCACAAAGGCCCTTAAAATCGTTGTCCTAATACAAATATGAAATTCCTTATTTTTTTAACAAGCCTAGATAATCATATTAAAGTAAAAATGTATTCTCCCCATATGCATATAAAAAGCTTATAAGAGACGGATCATAAAAGTAACGACGACATGTTACAAACATCTTTGAAGGATGAAACCACAAGCAAAAATTCACCATCACAAGAATAAAAAGGCCAAATAAGGGATCACACACCACTAATGTCGATAACAAAATTACTGCCGTTAAACGGCTAAGACGCCTAAATTAATTCCAACATGTCAAATTAATTTCAACATGATGTAGCTCAGATTTTGTTGAAGGCAACAATGTCACAGCTCTGAATAAATTCATTGGCAGGCTCAACAGTGAGACGTTCCTCAATTAGAGTATCCACCGACACAAGGTCATCCACTATTGTCATCATGATCTGCAATTTCTTTATCCCATAACCAACAGCAACCAGTTTAGCTGCACAAGTCCAATGCAAAGTATGAGAACCAGAATTTCATTCAACAAGTCATAAAAATAAATTTGCATGTGTCCACATTAAAATCGTACACGCTCCCCAGAAAAGACCAGGCATCTCGATGCTGCGAACAGTCTCTTCCAGCTTCTTCATGTCAGTTTCATCATCCCAAGGTTTCACATCCAAAAGAACAGATGATTTTCCACCTATAACATGATTGAATGTCAGAAAATATTACAAAATATAACTTTTTTCCGCCAGACAAACACCATTGCTAGGCAAAATAAGAAAAACAAATAATACTTGAAGATTCCATGCACAATGAAACAAAACCTTAAGTTAAAAAATTAAGGTTTTTCATCATCTCGCCATGTAGAAATTCCAATAATCTTTAATGCCAGTTATGAAAGTGAATTTATATTATTAGTAAATGAACAATAGATCATGCAAAAAACATCTGGAGGAAACTCACTCTCTTTCTTCTTGGCAGATTTTTTAGCTACTGCCTCCCTATCTTCCGCAGCCTTCTTTTCCTCCTCCGTCTCGTCACCAAAGAGATCCAGGTCATCATCATCATCATCACCAGCAGCTTCCTATAAATTCAAAGGGATGGTATCCTTTTTTGAGTAAAATAAACAGTTCCAAGGAAAATTTTGCAAATGCAAAGTATATAATACAATAAGAATGTACATTAATCTTTCACAAGGCCAAAACCAGTTCCCTCAAATGTTTAGAGAGACAATAAAAACAAAACTAAAACGCATTCTCGAGAGAGAACACAAAGAATGGTGCTTCATTTTTGGATTCACTCTTGCTTTTAGACTCATGTTGATCTCAGCATCCAAACCTACAACTTCTTAAATTATTCTTGACATCCAATACTTTCTTTGACGTGTGAAGAAAAGTACTGTATTGCATATTAGAGTAAATACACTTTTTATAACTTTTTGATTAAGTTAGACTTACACAGCAACTTAATCTACAACTCGCAGCTAATCCCAGGTCTACATGCCCAGGTCGTACCACACAAAAGGCTTGTGCCTATCAAAACAAGTCTCTGGGGAACATGAATCCAACAATCCTCAATCATCCCTTAATTTGTTTCTGTCCAGCATCATATGTAGCTTTCCTCGGACAAGGTATGAGAGCCTATATGATATTCTCTCATTTTATCCAAAGCTACTATCGTAAAATACCATAGAAAGAAAAAATATATATATTCAGAAGTTTATAAAAATGATGTTCAAAAAACCTGTCAAGGCAACTAAATAAACATAATCACCAATTATCCAGAGCAAAGAACAAACCTACATAGGTCGGAGTGGGGAGGCCGCCCCCAACTAACTTTTTTTCATTTCTAATATATACCAATAATTTTGCTCAAACTTAGCTTTCTGTTATTTTAGTTCTGCAAGTCTATCTTTTAATAATTGTACAAATACCCCTACGAAATAATAAAAATGCCCTTGATCTTAAAACCCAACACAAAGATGGAGAGAGAGAGAGAGAGAGAGAGAGAAGTGAGGAAGAAGCATGTTTACGCAACTTGTGTTTTCAAAAGGTGAAAACTGATTGAATACAATTATAAATGCATTGAAAGGATATATCACACAACTTGTGTCCTGGAGATATAAATCCTATTGATCCTAACAAGGGAAAGGAATAGGTTTATAGTAGCATCAAGCCAAAACCCTATCTAAAGTATTCGTAAGGTAAGACATCTATGTTCAGTAAAATAATTAGAAGGTGCATGTATGAACTTATTTCCACAACACTGAAAACATTGAATCATGCAGATAATATGTAGCAGGGATAGTGATACAAACCTTCGGGGCTTCTTTGGGAGCAGCAGCATCCAATGGAGCTGCTTGGCAGGCGATTCTCACCCCAACAGCTTTGCCAGGGAAGCTGCCAAAATGATTGAAGAATACATGGTATCAAAAATAAATAATTTGAAGTCATTGTAAAAAATAAAAAATAATAAAAAAATATTCCAATTTCCAAAACAAAGAAAATTTTGACATTGCAAATAAATGAGGCAAATTTGATACAGTTTTATAAAACAGTCAACCTAAAGGGGAAAAGATCTTTAAAAAATTTAACTAAAAAACAATATACACCTCCTAAAAGTTGATGTTAAAAATCATGATTATAATTATACATCTAGTAGCTACTACAAGAGAATGATTTGGTTTCACCTCTACAACATATGCTTCTACAAATAATAATAGCTTCTAACATTGTGATTTTAGTGTGCAGGAACTGTGAAATACCAGCATTCATAGGTTCATGTGATTTCCATATAACATCTGGGAAAGAGTCGGCTTATCATGTTAACAACCATAGATAGAGCTCTATCCAAATGCGAAATGAAATATCAGATAGAGACAAAAGGTGAATGGAATAAAAGGTACCAAGTGAGATCAAAATTGGTTGACTAGAGTTTCTTTTCTCAAAAGCACAAAACAACCAAGAAAAAAATGCTTCATATATGTGTAATAAATCAGGAAAGTATTTTTTTTATAAGTAAAACCAGGAAACTATTCACAGAAATCAAATGCTTCTTTATGTTAAATCACATCATGTAACCAAATAATAGCACCCTAACATATATGAGCTTGTGACCTTGTCATTTCCAACGGCTCATGCACTAACATACCTTTTGATCTTTCATTTCACAATGTCACGGCAATTAAGGTTTTTTTTCTTTTTCTTTTACCAGACTCAATTTTCCTCTCAAATGGTGCATCAATCTAGTTGCCAGAATATTGACAGACTTCTACAGCACTCTATGTCCGGAGGCAGTATTACCACCATTTTCTCTAATTCTGTGTTTAGTTTCCCTTATTATCACCTCTTATTATCATATCCGAACCCTAAAGCTCCATCGGTAAGGTATATCAGCCTACATTTAATCCATATGGTAACCGGAAATAAAAATCTATTCTTTTATGCTCAATGATACCTTGTGAACTCCCATCATATATTTGTTGGTTGCCAAAACAACTTAAAAAAAAAAAAAAAAAAAAAAAAAAAAAAAAAAAAAAAAAAAAAAAAAAACAGACAATCCTTATTTCCCTACCAAGGATAATTATTTTTATATTTTTTATTTCTGTTCAGAGAGAATAAAGGAATTGGGATGGGGTAGGAAACATAAATGGTAAAGTGTGTAGCAAAAATTCGAATATTGAAATTGATGTGTAATAATACAATAAAGGGTAAAATTAGAAATGCACACATATGTAATATGATTGAAGTAGCTATCACTTGGATAAAATGAGAAAATCAATTAAAATGGTTTTGCCAAATTCAGCTACAACCAATAATTGCTTTGCCAAGGAAAAGTGACACGATCCTTATCGGGGCCAATACTAAGGGAAGGGAATGATCAAAGTTAACGTGAATTAAAATTGTTACAAAAGATATGGTAGCATGTAGTTTAACTAAGAGTGCATATGTCCTAAATTATGTTACAAATATATACTAGACTAGGAGAAGGGAAAGACCAACATTAACACATTGATGGGGAGAATAAAGAAAAATAATTCTCATCGATAATTGTGCCAAAGGATGAACTTTAAAATTAATCCATCCACAACATTCTTATTCTTCATATGACAGTGTACTTTAACCAAAATTAATACTAATAATAAATGATCATAGAACAGAAAGACAAAACAGAATTCATGTAACCCATCTCAAATAGTTGGGATAATACTTTGTTGAGTTGCATAACTATATAAGACTACAATCTTCACCCACGGTAATAAATGAACTACAGCTATCCAAATCTGCATAAGCAAATACAAAACCTAACTTTCAAAGCCATTCACTACAATACCAACCATAATTAAAACCATATCAAAATACAACTACATCCACACATACACATACAAGTATACAAGCATATATATACATGTGTGTAATTACACAAAGAACGTAACAACTAGTGATGATAAAATCAGATTGATAGACAGACCTTGCGGCGAGCTTGGAAGACACACATTCGTACCACTTGCTGGCGTTGGGGAACAGATCTTCACAGGGCTTCTCCGAAACAGCTGCATACACCTTTACATCATCCTTTGTAAATTCATCCCTGTAAATTGTAATCGATACCCAACAGACGAATCAGCATACCCACATATATATAATTATAATACACACACATAAACATACAGATATATATTTATATGTGTGTGTGAGAGAGACTTGAATTGTGAAAGAATGATGATGATGATGATAGTACTGACCCAGAAATATAGGTTTTTCCAGAGAGGAATTCGTCGAGGGCTTTAACTCCAGACTCAGTGTGCAGATCGGAGAAGGTCACAGCCATTATTGATGATGAAATCAAAGATATGGAATGGTACGACACAGAGACGGGGACGATCTGGAGAGAGAAAAAACCTTCACCACGAAAAAGAGGGCTACTTCAGTGCACAAGAGGAACTATTTATACAGAGGGTCGTCTTAGAAACCCTAAGAGGTATATTCCTTTCTTCTTTTTCTTTTTTATTTATTTATTGTGTAATGTGTACACTGTACTCCCCCCTAAGTGTGCGTGTGCGTGTGTGTGTGTGTTTTTTTTATTTTTTTTATTTTTTTTATTCTTTCTTTCTTTTTCCTTTTTTGCCAACAAATTCTTTCTTTGATTTTACAAAATCGATTGTTTTCATGCAATATGCAATTTGGTGAGATATTTAAAAATATTTCATAAAATACTCAAATTTTAATTTTATCTAAATAGCTTTTGAATTTATAAATATAGAAATTCCCCAACCTTTAGAAGAGGTGGGAAAATCATCATTAAACTACACAGCCCTTAATTATCCCACAATTAAAAATTAAATATATTATGACAACATTTAAATATTTGCGTTAATTTAACACTCAACCTTTCATGCAAATTTATAAAAATTAAAAGGTCCTAATAATTTGATCATATCACCTATCATATATATATTAATTTTTTTATGTTGTGAATTTTGCGTTATTGATGGTTTTGCCATAATTAATATAATCATTTTCTTGGTTTATATAATATTTACCTTTTATTATAATTATTAGCAACAATAAATTAATGAAAAGTTAAAAGCCCTGTTAGTTTTTAGTTTGACCCTTAAGTCTTGTTTTCTATTAATTCTTTTTATGATAAGAATTTCGAGAATGTGAGATGAGAGTCTTATCATTAGATTATTTGTTGAAGGTTTTTAAAATTTTCAATTTCATCCTTTATAATTTTTAATTTATTTAATATTACCGTCAACTTTAATTTCCATTAAAAGTTTTATTTTATTCTCTAGCAATGTGATTTTTTTATGAAATACATTTGAATAAATTATTATATTTGTAACAAATAGACTAACCATTTAACACTTAAAATTTATAGGCTAATACATAATTCTAATTGCTAAGAAACTATTAAACATGTTAAACTGAAAACATTACTTTTAATAACAAATCAATAATTGGACAAAGATGTAGTTGCGAAATTTTAGGTCTACTTTAAGAAGGGGTAAAAATATAAAAATAAAAAGTTCAAAGCTTATGCCAAAAACTATAATTTATTGGTCTTATTAATTAAAACTTTATAAGTTTATAACTTTATATAGGTCATTGGTCTTGATTTTTTCTTTTTCTTTTTCTTTTTCTTTTTCTTTTTTATATATTTAAATAACGTAAAATATGAATTATTCTCTTCATGGCGCCATCTGTCTGAAAAAAAGATCTTGGATCGGAGAAGATAGATCTCTCTCTCTCTCTCTCTCTCTATATATATATATATATATATAATCTAATTATAATTATAATATACTATTAAAAGTGTGAGAAAAATCTATCATTTATATACATCTTTTTACTTTTTTTAATTCAAAATATGGAATTTGACGAGGTGACACACCAACATTTCTTATACTTATTGCTTGTGTAATCCAATTAATTAACAATTAATTAGATTATGTTTATATGAAGTATAACCAGAAACATAAATAATGGGGCAATGTACAGTAAACCCCCCTCGATTATGGATCTTTTTCAGTAAATCCCATTGTTTAATTTTTTATCAAAGAATCCACGTAAAAGAGTAGATGTTCGGACCAAAATGCCATTATTGCTATTTTATTTAAATCCTAATTCATCCGAGCTTCAAAAATTCATATCTCACAAACCGTACTTCCAAAAATTACAAATAATATATGCAAAGAAAACTTATGAAACAAGGATTCCATAAATATATGATTTGTGTAATAAGCCCCCATAACCGGAGAGAAATAGGTAATCTAAAAATCTGTTTCAGCAATTTGTTTTATTTTTAATAAATATAATACTCAGGATATTTGCATGAAAATTTTTAGACTTACTCATTTGCATATAAAGTATAACATATAAAAACTTTAGCCACAATAGAGACTGATTTCATTGTGCATCAAGGTATTTTTATTTTCTTATAGACGCGCCATTTTAAAAAATATATATCAAAATAAATAATCAGTCCTTGTTGGGGCTAAATTTTTTATATGTTATACTCTATACGTAAATGAATAATTCTAAAAAAAATCTTGTAAATATCCCAGATATTTTATTTTCTAAAAATAAAATAAGATTATTGGAGGAGGTTTTTAGATTGCCTATTTTTATCTGTTTATGGTGGCATGTGTAACGACCCGAACCTGTTGGTCCAAACCGTTAACTGGGTCATTGCCCTGACCCGAAGTCAACTAGGTCATACCATCCATTTCCTGTGTCCATAACCGTCCTAATGGTCAATCCGAGGTCCAAAATACTTCAAGATGCAACTTTGTAGAAAGGGTCAAATGATACAGGTAAAAAGGGAGGGATCAGCCTGCTGATGGCCCTTGACCGGCCGGCTGACAAGACTGGTTCGGTCAGCGGACCAATAGGGTTGGCTGGCTGAAACGATTGCACAAAATGCATGCTCTCGGGACTTTCCAAAATGGCCTGTCGGTCGGTTGATGGAGGGGGTTCGGTCGGCTGATGGTAAGGGTCAGCCAGTCGAAACAAGCTTCTTGGGACTCAAGTCACTGGAAATGCATTCTGGCTGTGCTTTATACATACTCAACTTATACCGAACCTGTTATGGAATAAAGTTCCGAATTCACGGCAACAAGAATAACATTATACAATTGGATGGCATCAATAATAGATCAGATTATAATTTCCTTTCAATTACCATCAAGTGTTCTATTTACAATACATGGCCATGGTTTTTCAATTGATTACATCATTCCAAAGTTTGAGACTTTACAAAAGAATAGGTCCCAACACACAAAAGTGGCAAAAAATGAATTTCTAGTCCTCCTCACGCTTGTGAAGGGTCAGCGTCCACTACTTCCTTTTCCCAGCCCTGAAAAATGTTAAATGTAATGGAGTGAGCAAATTGCTCAGTATGCGGTGCCTAAGACACCCTTCTTGTAGCCCCGTGAATCCAAATAATGAATAAAAATAGAGGTTAGGGGTCACGCAATGCCGGTAAAGAACAATATAAATTCCAATTTTAAAATAAACAATGCCATGCCATGATATGCGATGCCATGTATGTCGCTCCCCATTTTCGAAATCTAAATCCATCACTTTTCAAACTGTTAACATAACCCGTCTGTTGGTGACTCCGCAGCGACACGAGAAAATGATTGGCTACTGTCCTTGACCCTTGGTACCCCCACGGCGTCATTTGGGGCCCAGATAGCTCTACCACACTCGGGTGTTTCCCCTAGTTCTCTCTAGGTTACATTAACACACCAGCCCTTTGGTGACTCCTCGGCGACTGGCTTTTTATCAAAACCTTTTAAATCAAATGTCTTCCCAAAAATTCCTTTTTTTCTTTATTTTAAATCATTTCCCTTCATTCATACCCAATGATATGCATGTGTATCTCATACCTTCAATGCTATGCCAATAAGGGATTTTCATACAACACAATTAAGCATGTTTTATAAGAAATTCTAGGAAAATCACACAAACTTTCATACATCATTTCCAGCAAGTTAACAACACAATAGGTATAGAAAATCAACACTTAAGCATGCTTTCATACAAATCAACTTGTACATATAATCATGAACTTTGTACGCCATAATTAAATCATTTCAGGGGAAATTAATACCAATTAAACATGTTAGCAACTATTAACAGGAAATTGACTCACAAAAGTACAAGAAAATATGAATTAGAGACCCCTACCTTAAATTAAGCAAAAAGCCCCAAATTTATGCCCTAGAACACGAAATTCCTTAAAGTGCTCCAAACAAGAATTTGCTCTGATCAAATCGTAGAGCTCGCCGTAATCTTCAATTTGCCACAAACGGCTCCCAAAAATACCAAAGATTGAGATAGAGATCAAGGTTTAAAGCCTTGAAGTAAAAATAAAAAGAAAAATAAAGTTTGAGAGGAAGAGAGAGAAACCAGTGGGAGAAGAAGAGAAATGGAGACCAAAAATGTGGTCTCATGACCACTTAAAGTGGTAGTGGGCCCCACCTTAAAAATAATTTATTTTCCCTTTAATTTTATTTTCTTTTTTACATCACACACGTATATATTTCTACATATTTAATTCACAATCATTTAAAACTATTTATGTAAAATAGATTCGATGCAAATAGACCCAATCAAAATCCCCGTATGCAACAATTCCGGTAACGGGTCCCACAAGGGACCGTCCGGCCCGAAAGACAGAAAAATGTGAGGATGACAAACCTTGCATTTCAAAGAATCCTGAACTCAATGAAATGCCCCAACCATCACTCGGACACAACCAGTACATTCCACAGTGTCTGGTGAGCAAAACGGTAAAAGACGAAAATGCCCTTGCAACGACAAAAAATTCAGAAAAATAAAAAATGGCAAAAAACGGAAACATCACAATCTTCCCAACTTAAAAGGATTTCGTCCCCGAAATCAAGCCATACCTGGGGACGAAAATAACACTGGATACTTGGAGCGAACCTCTTGTTCGAGCTCCCAAGTAGCCTCCTCAACCCCGTGGTGCCTCCAAAGAACCTTCTCTAGTGATATCGTCTTATCCCTTAACACCTTATGCCGTGTGTCAAGGATCTGAACTGGTCCCTCTTCATAGGAGACATCCTCATCAATGTCGACATCAACCCAATCCAAAACATGAAATGGATCTGGTTTATACTTCCGTAACATCAACACATGAAAAACATTATGAACTCTGTCTATCTACGGTGGCAAAGCAAGTCTGTAGGCAACCTCTCTTACGCGGTCCAAAATCTCAAACGGTCCAATGAATCGTGGCGATAACTTGCCACTTTTTCCGAACCTCATCAACCTCTTCTGTAGAGAAACCCGTAAAAAAATATGGTCTCCCACCTCAAAAGATAGTGGTCGTCTCCACCTATCCGCATAGCTCTTCTGTCTACTCTGAGCTGTGAGTAACCTCTTTCTGATCAACTTAATCTTC